ATGGCGTGGACTACGTCTCGGAGTCGGTTTGTCCGAATCAAGGATGAGATCCTTGAAAGAGTTCGCTTTCAAAGGAGCTGACTTGATATCGTAGTTGACCGGTCAGTACTGTGTACTGACGGGCGCTTACAAGCTTCGTAGACCTTGAAACACTCAGGGATGGGTGAATCTTTGGGTGCTGCATCAAAGCTAAATAGGTCGGCCATGTTGCAGTCAAACCATGTGAGGTCGTCGGACGCGCAATGGTGCTGTTCATACAGTCCATCAGTTGGAAGAACACAATTGAAGTTCTCAAAGAAATCAATGGTTTCATCTAGTTTCGATTCTTTAAAAGAAGTAACAGCTTTATTTTTCTTAAGAACTCCTACAAGATCAAACAGGTGTTCTCCATCATCAGGATCATGGTCGGGAACGGACTTTGCCCTTTCTTCAAAAATAGTAATAGGATCTTATGTAATTATCCAAGAAAAGGCCAGTCTTGACCGAAGCTAGTTGGGATGAATAGCTTTTGCCGGAGCTTCGTCAGCGGCAAAACAAGTGGCAAGAGGCAAGAGATTGGTCTTTTCATTTTTGAATTTCAGCGATTTCGCCAAAATCGAGCTGGACACATAGATTGCGACTATTTTTGTTTTTGTAACGGTGTCATGGTCGCGTGTTTTTTGACAATGATTGTGTCACAAATTCTTATATGATCGTCAGGTGGGCTCTGCATTTGTGAAAGAATGTAAAAGTTCAGCTTGAATAGTTGAGACTTGCCGAGCAGTTGGGCATTTTGCTTCAACATGACAAGGAAATAGGAGATTCTTCAGATTGGGGGCACAACTGTATGCAACAATAAGTCGTTTAATAGGAATGGGAGCTTTTTCGTTGTTGTGGAGTTCGTATAAATATGGTTTGAACTTTTCTTTTGGGACCACAGGTGTATCTTTTTGAATGAAGGCATCCCAGCCATTCCATGAATAAGTTCTGTGCCAAGCTTGGCTATGATCACAAGCTCGACCAAACAATCGGTGTTTTGTTTGTGGGCGGAGCATGTGTGCATGAAAGGCCTGTTGAAGGGAGTGCCGAGGAGGATCACGAGGGTGGAAAGGTAGATGTAAAAGAATGTAGTCGCGCGTTGAATCTTTTGATTTCTTTTCCCGTGGCTTTGAAAATTGAATGAGAGCTTTTTCAAAGGCAAACTTGAGGAAAGGAAGTTTGTATCCACGGGCAAAGAGATGGGAGTGGAACTTGGACAGGGAGTCCTTTTTGTCACAGTCTCGAGTAGTAAGCTGAAGAATGCGGTAGATTCCACCTGTAACAAGGCCCATTCGGACGGCAGGGGTGTGAGCAGAGTTCGGAGGGATGTACAGGTGAAGATTCAGAGGCTTTTCGTAGAGCTTGAAGTTGATGTGGAACTGTTCCACATCCAGAGTAACATCTAGGAAATTGGCTGTTTTAGACAGTGGAGAGAATTCCCAGGAAAGGGAGCAATAAGTTTCTTGACGCTGTTTAAATGCTTCCCATTGGTGCTGATCGACGACTGGGTCTGGGTCATGGATCCAGATGCCAAACTGATCATCAATGTATCGACGGAGGTAGTGTAAAGAAGATCCGAATTGCTCAATGAGGTCAAGTTCAAAAATGCCGTAGTAGAGAGTAGCAAAAGAGGGCGCAGGTGGAGTGCCCATTGCAGTGCCATCTTTTTGAAGCCAATATGTGTCCCCAAATCGAAAACAATTTCGTTTCATGATGAGGCGCAGGGCGTGCATGACGGCGCCTGCATCAACATTAGCACAGAGGGAAGAATGGTGTAAGAATTCTTCAATCCGTTCAAAGGCATCATCAAGATTGATGCTTGGGTACATAGCAATGACATCCCCAGTGAAGATACTCATGTTGGCAAAGTTAGTCCCTGCCATTTTATCAAGATCCTCTTTCAGTTGGAAGGAGCTGGATAGGTAGGTTGGAAGTTGGCGGATGATCGGTTGAAGTTGTTATCAAGCCATTTGCCAAGGCCATAGAGTAGGCTTCCAGAAACTGAAACAATGGGGCGGGTTTTCCAGGGACTTTTGTGAACTTTAGCTAATACATAAAAGTAGCTAAAAGGATCGCGGACTGCCTCAAGGCTGCGGGTCAGATATTTGTGATTATCATCACCCAGGTAACCATGGTATAGAGTAAGAAACTCAATGAGAGAGTCTTGAGTGCTTGAGATGAATGTGGTTGCAGCCTCGAAAGACAAATGTTCATAAGTAGGCTGTAATAAGTGGTCAATAAGGCAGCGGCAGACATAGGTTTCACGTTCCATTAGCACAGGCCCAAGATTTTTGTCAGAGTTGAGGACTACAAGCTTTGGATGATTGCGTAGAGTAGTGAGCAGGTTTTGTTGAATGGGATTGAGATTGGAATGGACTTGTCGGCGGTGAAACATAGGCGTGAGTTGTTTGCGGAATGCTTGAACTCGAGCTACAAATTCATTGTCAACAGTGTCTGCAGGTGGGCTCCAGTCGCTGAAAATGTCACGAACATAGAGTTGTTTGTGAGACCACTCGTTGTCAATTTCATGGGCATAGTGAATTTTGATGCGAAAGTCTCTGTCAAAACGGTCTAGGATCGGAGAGAGTCCAAAGTCGGCTGTGGCACCGACTCTGGAGCATGACGGTCCGGTTCTCACTCCTGCGCAGCAGCGCCGTGCAAAGGAAGCAGAGAGGAAGAGAAAAATGGACTTGGAGAACAACGTTCCTAGTCCCTTGTTCATCATGGTGTTACCAGGTGAGATGGAAGGGACCTATTTGTTCATCATTAGGCTGAAATATGCTGCCTTGGCAACGAATGTACTGAATGGACTCAAATAAAGGTCACCGTGCTATTAGATACGCACGCATAGTCTGTACGCGGTAACGTACAGAATCGGTGATGGACCACATACATCATCACAACTTTCTAGATTTCCTTTTACGAACGTCTATCAACTTTCCTTTACTTTTATAATCCTCCTAGTAAGTCTATCGCTACACGACATATTTTACATTGTTTATCACGACCCAATAGCTATGAAAGCAAAAGCTATTCAATGAAATGCATTCAAATGAACGAATTATGAATACGAATACTGCAATATTTTTTAATATGTGCAAAGCCGATTTCGATCGTGTCAATGGTGCTACA